GGGCACGTGAACGTTTTGTGCCCAATCGTAACTGTAATGAGCAGTAGCGTCAACGCTACAATAATCAGCTTTACCTCCTGCTACAACGTAATTATCATCTACCAACTTCCTCTGTTGTTCTGCTAATTTCGTATTTTTGTTGTAATAGTTTCTCTCTAATTTGGCCTTAAGTAAATGTTCTTTGAATTTTTTTAGTAAGTCTCTCGCTTCTTCTTCCTTACGAGCATTATACTGTAACCCATTCCGAAAATGTTGACACGTGTCACACAAATCCGTTCTTGGACTCATAATTTGAATATAAGGCGTTAATTGGTGCCATAACTTGCGAAATGCGTCATATTTTAACAATTTCAATGTGCTATCATTTTCAAGACCTGCAATAAAATCACGATAGACTGATTTGTAACTTGTTTCAGCTGGCAAAAGTGTAAGCATTTGAGTAATGCGCGATTGACATTTCTACCCGGACTTGGTAGTCCATGAATTTCAGCATAGTTTTCGAGAAAATTTTTCACGGCGGTAGCAACGGTTATGTCAATGGTTATTTGGTCTTCCATCGCGGCATTCGTTTTACGTTACCATGAACACGTGGTATTATACCATTCGTTGCTATGTGATTTCTGACGTTTTCGAAGTGAGTGCGACCAGCTCCTAACATATTAAGATATGTTTTCTGGCAGAGAGGCGTATGGCGATCTCAATAGTAAAAAGTTCTCTTATTAGTGCGTGTTTTCTTTTTAAGACGTCGACTGGCAGTTATTTCTCCACCATTCATTGCTGTCAACTGGGCCATTAAAAATATATCTTGTTCAGATCTAGAGAAAGCTTGAAACGCCTCACGTAATTCGGCAAACCCTTCTCTCGAAATTGTTTTTGAACAACCGCAATTGCAACCTAACTCTAAGAAACGGATTGCTTTTTCGTATTCAGCGGAGCCATTATATTTGTTATTTATCATATACGGGTAGTCCTATATATATATTTTCTTACTTTGTCATTGTTTAACAGTAAGTCTCGAAAACAGTTATGATAATGAGTAGCAGATTAGCAAAACAACGAATAATTTTATTACTTGTGATATATGCAAAAGCTTCCCTTCAAGATTCAAAAAAAAGTTCCTCTCTATAATAGTAATTAAGTATCTATTAGCAGAATAATCCTATCTAACCAGGACGAATAATCAGGAAGACTTTTCAGTGACTTGTTGAAACCTTTCTTATAACATTTGGCATTTGATTTGATGTTATTAGTAGTATAGTTTTGAAATTGATAATTTCCTTGACTTTCAGAATGCTGGTTTTGTTGTTGGCTTCGATTATCCATATCCATCACATCCTGCTGTATATTTGATAAATCATTCTCATCCCTATCATTCCCTTCCATCTCTTCATTACTACCTTCATCATTATCATCCTCATGTTCGGAAACAGATAGAATCATGTCAATTGGCTCAGCAATAAGTTTCTTTTCAATTTCATTGAAAATGTGTAACAGAACTTTTGTCAAGTCTGTTGATGCAGACCAGTATGGACCTGCACATTGTATTGTCAAATCATCGTTGTGTATAATACCTATTCAAAATAAAATCATAAAAGTAAAAATTATGTTTATGATGATTGCAGACAATATAAATACAATTGATACAAATCATTACCTTTAAAAAGATACCAGACTACACCATTTGTAAGCATACAATACCCTGCCTCCACTTCATACACTTGTGACAAAGAACTTGTCAAGAAATCGAGAGGCCCAAGTACTTGTACTTGAGAGAATTTCCGTTGCCATGCTTCATTGTTCATTGTGGCCATTGTCTAATCTCAATGGATGCTCTTTTGATCTTGCTATCAATTTCTATAATAGATAAATCATCCTTACCCTTCAGATGATACCTATGTGATTGAAAACTTTGTTTTTTTGAACTAAATTTCAACCTTCTATCTTGGAGAAGGACATTAAGGTGAGGGCAAACGTCAGCTGTCACTAAGATCTCGTTCTGATCTTCTCTTGCTATACCATTGAGCATAATCCGTCCTTTAATATCATTTGTAAGCCTTCTAATTTCATTCGTATCAGTTGGAAAATCTGGTTCTGCTTCAATATCCCACTTGGTAACTGACTCAGCAATAGGCTTAAATCTTCTCCAGTTTACACTACTCGCACTTGAATAGTCTGTTTTTGTTGTTGATGTACACAGACTTTCTACGATCTTCCCAGGTAGGTTATCAAGCTGATCGGAGAGCTTTTTGATCAATGAAGTGTCTAAAATTTAAGCCAGAATTTGACGAGAATGAAGAAAGCAGTGCAAAAAGGTATTATTACACATGATTAAGCAAGTATTCGATATTAGGAAAACAGAAACAAGGATATTATAGAAATGTCATCATATTACTCCGAATTAGAAAAGAATGAACATCATGGGTAAAGATAGATGGTAAACAATCTTGCTTTCGGTTTCATCACATGCGGAAACTCTATCTTTTAACAACCCTACGATTATGCTAATAACCTGTTTTACACCATCCTTCAAAGTATCACGATTTCCCTTAAGTGCCGTCTTCGAGAGGTTTATTTGATATTCACTATTACTTGTACAAAAAATCCCTTCCGACGCAAATATGATGAAATGCCAATTACAATCCATGCCTAATATTATGACTAGAATTAGTATGTGAAAAAATAATTGGGGGAATACGGATACATACCAGTGGAAACTATTCCATATAGATAGTCGTAATCCTCAGCCTTAAATGCTTCATCCGCAGTTTGCTTCTTCTTGTTAATATGGAAGGAACTCTCGAGTTGTTTTATATTTTGGAAGTAACCAATCTTAACATTTCGTGGTTTACCCTCAGTGATACACAAAAGATCCTCCATCCCTGTTATGGCGTAATCAACCCTACCAGACGCTTCTTCACCCGAAATATCCCTCTGCAATTCTATATGGATCTCTTTGTTGGTCATTCTTCGCACAATTGATATTGATGCGTGTAATATAGATGAAATAAATTCGCAACGTGTTGCTTCATTGGCCTCAATCATTGATTTTACATTCGTTAACCATAGTATTATTTCATTCATACATTGTTCGAGGGCTTTGTCGTCGTCATCGATTTTCTCGAATACTGTACAATGAAAAAATAAATTAATACATATCTGGAATTTTAATAATGAAATTTGCCAAGAAATTTGCGAGACTGGCGGTCCCATAAAAATGTCAAGAAAAATTATCACATACCCGGATTGAATTGCTTGATGCTCGTTATATCCTCTCCATTGACTTTATATTACGGAGAACGTCCTTTAACTCATCCAGTATTTTGTACGACGAGAAGCTTCTTAATTTTTGATCGGTTATCTCTTCGATAAAATTTACAAGAACGGTTGCTGTCCCATATGTGAAACCAATATTACGAAACTTTTCTTCTGTTGTCCTGAGAAATGCACGACCAGAGATTCTTTCATTACGGAATATCTTGAAATCCGCTTCAATGAGATCCAAATCTTGTCTACGTAGATAGTCAATAAGTTCTTCCATCTTGTAATTTTTAATAACGTTAGCCATCATGCGAGTTGACCTTTCTTCCGTCAAAGTAGAGGTTGTAGAAACCGGTGAGGAAGGTATTAAATCGTGTAAAGACATGGTATCGTTTTATATTGGTATATGATATATGATATATGGCGTAAAGAATCTGGTCTATGCGATGTGTTTATGAAGCTAGAGTACATGATGATCTCGGAGATTGCGGAGATTTCGACTTCCCAAGATATAAGTCCTTTGACATACACACTAATGAAGGTTGGCGGTCTACTCCTCCTTATTAACTTTTCGAGTTTTGTTTCGCTGATTCCTATTGTGAGGCGTATTTATCTGTTGGAGCCCAATTAGTCCAAGAAGTTTTTCTAATGTTAATTCCAATGTTGAGACGATCTGTCGAGTTTCAATAAAATTAATTAAATCTGAAACAATATCGACTTCATTCGTCAATAGGATATTGAATTCAGATGAAGAAACTTGACTAACTGCCCCTTCACTGAATTTTGGGGTTACCAAAATTCCAATAGCGCACTTGGGAAGGTTTCCAAGAACTCCTTCGAGTTCACGAACAACACCAGGAACTTATTTATAATGATGTTAGTTATTAAATTGTTTATATTAAAAATAACATTTATCTTACCAATCGATCTATGTTTTTTACATTGAATTATGATCGGAATTTTTTTTACATTCCGATTATGTCTATACCACCATCTCCCCCGTCTCCTGATTTGGAGCTGATAATATTAGAAGAAATGAGTATTCATCATCATAATCAAAACCATTTGAAGAACGTTCACAGCAGGCCGTCCACCGTACGCCAGGACTGGGTACCTGACTGGCGACTTTCGCAAGCTGCGGCCACGATGCGCTTTCAATTCAAATGGTCAATGTATCCTATTCACCACACCCGGCAGAGTCGCACAGACAGCTTTCGGTAACGGAGAAACCGAACGTTCATAAACAAGTTGTATCATATTAAGAACTATAGAGTTTTGAAGATGTATCCTATTCATCACATTTTGTGACAGCGTAACTTCAAGATACATAAACTATATAGTCACTCAATTGATGTCGACTTATAGTTTAGTCCAAATACGTATGACGAAAAAAAGATTTACATATGTTTCGCAAACTTCTACGCTGATCCCGATTCGTCGATTTAATACGTAATGCGATACTCTCTATATCTTATATGAACCTTCTATAGCCATTATGTAACTACCTTCGGCGAGAAAACAGAAATTAAATTCAAAAAGTTTATAAGGGGAATGGGCTTAGGCACGTTAGTGCCCTCACTCCGTGAGTCATTCTTTATTAGTATTTTTATCGAAGTTCATATGTTACAATGACTTAGCATTTCCCAGATCATTGCATTTTTTTACTCCGCCGGTGGATCGTCGAAATTAAGGGGCACGCTTTATCAAAAATATTTACAAAAATTACTTGGGTTTTGGGATAGATCTAATGGTTCTGGGCAGTATAAAATACAAGGCTTTTTTTCTCCTATGAGGTGGGTTCAATAACATTTAAAATCACTAATTACCTATTTTTTGCTTCGTAGTCACGGGCTATACTATACCACTATTTAATTACAATTATTTTGTATTTAGGATCGTGAAAATGAGTAGCAATAAAAATACCACCATCAAGGTTAACGAATCCAATACCTCCAAGAGCAATAAAAGTAATGTTTCCAAGACCAAAAACCCATCATCATCTAAATCTATTAAGAAACCTGCTCCCGTGGAAATTACTGAAACTCGTAAGAAAACTTTATATTGCGCAATTACAATTGTGTTTTTGATATTAAGACAATAATTATTATAAGCATGACTAATACTTATTCTGTTAAAATTAGATAAGCTCCAAGTGAAACAAGGCGAAAAAAAATTCACTGGGATTGGGAAGATGCTCCAGTAATGTATCTGTTTTCATTTAGTACTGGGAATATCTTGTGGGTTCCAATTTGAAATATCACGGCTAAGAAGATATGACATAACTATCCCTGGCGCATCAGGATGTTCTAGTATTTTAGCCAAACGTTTGAAATATGGTATATTCCCTCTACAGCGCGCAGATACATCAAAACAAACTATACGAGCATCTCCTGCATCTATTTTAAGTGGGCATCCTGATTGCTTGTGACCATAAATGCAGAGTAATCTTTTAAATGAATAGGTTCAATACCTTTACATTCTATAGACACTTTTGGATCCGTTATAAGGGCTTTGAGATGGCCATTGAATTTATGCCATTCCCCACTAGACATGCTGGTCTCATTCATAACTACTAACTTTTTACCTTGAATAAGACTGTTGAATTTCCAAGAATTTTCCCTAGATCGGATGTTGCATAATAGAGCTTTGGTCCTAAGACTTTATCACCAATAAAATCAATGATAATATTTTTTCCGCATTGTTGAAGAGTAGACTTTAATACACAGATTGAACGAGGTTTATTTTCTGGTTTTTGTATTAAATATGCCCACCAGTTTCAGATGTATTTATTGAGCCTTTCATTTTCATTACAGATTACATTTTTTACGTGCCAGAGAATCGGATCCATAATTTCTTTTTTAATTTCTGGTGCTGGTTTAGCTATAAATCCCAGGAAAAGATTAAAGAAATTTGTTTTTGGTTGAATTACGT